CAGTTCTTAAACTGGGGACTATCTGTATGATAAAAATGTAGCATAAAAGTATCATTTTTTTCTTTTAATTAAATGCAGTTTTCAACAGAGACTCAATTTTATTGTTATTTTGTGTATCATTCTTGTAACTGGCTAAAAAATAGATAAAGGTACTAAAATAAAATAATTTACCTTTTAGCTAGATACAGAATTGCAGACCATAATGCACAAGAAAGAATTTAATGGGTTAGCCTTTTTTTTCCAAACTGGTCTATATTTGTTAAACACTTAGGAATTTAAAAAATGCAGATACGTGGTTCTGTGAACTTCTCTATTCATAGTTTCACATTCTTTCATATTGATATGATCCAGAAGAGGGGGGCCTTGGATAAAATACTAACCACATTGCTAGCCTTTCTAATCAGAGAACCAAACTTCCATAAAAGAAATGACATTTCTATGCTAAGTGAAAAAAAGGTCTATGCTAAGAGAAAAAAAGCAAACCAAATATTTCCCTTCTTCAGGTAATGCTTAAAATACCAAAAATAATCTATAGAACTTAAAACTTGCTTGTTGATACCTGCAGCATAAAGCTAAATGATTATATTTTTTTGGCAAGACATATTTTACAGTCTTAGGGTTTTAAGCGATTTCATAGTTTAGATGAACTCTGGGGACTCAAATAAATGATCAAAGTTGACTGCAATAATATTCCTTGTTATTAGCCACCTTGAGTCTTTATGATTTGGCAGCCTAATAATTCATCATCATCGCCATCACCATCAGTCAATTGCAAAAGGCAACTTTACTTGGAACAGCTTACATCCTGCAACGATACCTTTAACACCACCAAACAATAATATCTGCCTATTCCAGGTCCTTGGGAAGGACTCGATAGGTGGATAAAAATGCCACATCCAGTCTAAATATCTGGCTGACTGTTCAACCAACAATGCACATTGCTTAAAAAATTAGCTTCCAGCAGGAAAATTAAAAGGTGGCTAGTAATGAATTATGGGAGAGGCATGCTCATGAACATATGTGGTTAATTTCCAGTATTAACTCAACCATGCAACACCCTATGAAGAGTATAAGTTTTTCTGCATGACAGTGTGAAAACAAATTTGTTCTATATGTAAGCATTCTGGTACCTAATGTATCTACTATCAATCATTAAATAGAGAAACATTCAACCTTCTCTCATTTTACTGGGGAGGACAATAAAGGAAAGGATATTGTTTGGATGTTTCTATTTACTACCAAAACGTATTCTATTCATATTATCAAGTTATCAAAGTATATTGTGATCATTTTCAGTTATAGCTTTAGCTGAAGCAGATATTAAAAATATTCATGCAGGCCCAAAATAGCACCCATGAATCTTTACACCTTGAAAGAATTATATCAGAATGGATTCCCCAGGTTCAAATTTCTACTTGCCAGGCAGAGATGTTGTAAGATAAAATATGAGGGAGGGGGTAATAGCTACTATACTTTCCATACATGATAACATTTAATTGTTGCACTTATATCTTACATCTTAATTGTTACAGTTCAAGGTGGCATATACATATGACTTGCTCAAATACACACACATGCCACTTTGTATTGCTGTCAGACAGAAGAATATAGATGCAGCAATTATATTTTACTATATATGAAATTTACACCTCAGCAGGGAGCAGATTTCACCTTATATACAAGCTTAAACCCAATGAAAAACGTTTTTTTCCGTCTCTCTCTGTGGGAAATATACTGTTACATTATTGTCACAGGATAGCCTATTTTCTTAAAGAAGGGTTTTTTCCTTTAAGGAAAAAAAATACTATCACTATTATTTTCCTCCAAAGATTACTCTCAAGGATTTCCTTGCAGTGATCGGTAGTAACACATATGTTTCAAATAAATACATGAATAAATTGCAAGCTTTGCTGCTCTTGCTGCTGGAGATAGTACTGGAGGGTCCAGTGCCTCTTGGAAGCATAAAAGATCCTGCTCCCTGCAGGAGGGTTAACAGCTGAATAAAACAAATTATGTTTGCTTGGGGCTGCAAAGGAAACAAAAGTTCTAAACCCTGCTGGAAAGGCTGGGCTCTACACACTTCAGCAGTTCAGGATCAGCAATAGGAATAAACATTCAAGCCTTTTGGCAGATTCACAATTTGTTTCAAATGAATTTTGGCAGAGAGTGAGTGAACAATAACATCAACAAAATATAGACTTTTAGGCTTCAAATAAAATATAAAAATTAAAGAAGCACCCAAGTTTTCAACACTATATATAAATGCATAACAAACTATTAATTTTTCTGCAGAAGTGACCTGCAGCTGAAATGATCCAGAGGGGAGAATGGGAAGGAGAAACAGAAGCATATTATTTTTGCAGAATCTGTATGGTCAGACAATGCAGAAACGAATAAATAAATATTATTGGAAAGTCTGTATTGGGGATGAATGGGGATATCCCTCCACATGTGAATAATATCATTGGTGAAGTTATTTGAAGTTATATTAGATGACACAATATATTTATTACCTAGAATCAAGCAAACATTATAAAGAAGGGTACAAACTTCAGGGTTCTTAATCAGAATGAAGGTTAAGAATACACTGATTGGTTAAGAATATATAAACATTAGTATATGATCTTTATATGTTGGATGTACTACAGCCCAGATATAGTCTCTTATGGGTGCCCTTTTTGTATTAAGAGGACAGTCACAATCTTCAGGACAGAATGATAAAAACTAAAGCCAAGCCAAGTCC